TTGACCTCCTTACACCGTTATCTCACCTCTTTGTATCGCCTCTCTCCGCTTGTATCCTATCATTTTTTTTAATTTTTTACATGTATTTAAATTTTAAATTTGAATTGTTCCATGTACCTTCACTATCTCATTTTGTTTTTGTACCACGGTCACTCCCAGCTCGACTGCCACAACAGTCGGAGCTGTTAATAAGCTAATCATGTATAATAATTTATAAGTCGACAGCCTTCATGTGTCTATTTCTGTAATTCAGTTTCTCGGCCCATTTAGGGGTAAGTGCCTTAATAATAAAGTGTAGGGAGTGTTTTATACTGTTATACCTGTTTTTTTTACATTTACCTTTATATTTTTACAGCCTTTTTTTAAACTTTACTTCTTTAATAAATTTTGTGGACCGGAAGTTTCCCATTTCATTGCCGTGAACCTGTTCACGGCTAGTTAGGGTTACAACCCTTTCACGTTGATATGATCCTGACAATTATCTTATGTTTTATTTCACTATTTTGGAATGCAAAAATGATAATCGCACTTGTAATATTATCTATTGTGGTGTTTCGTATCATCATTAAGTTTTAATTAATTTAATTTTAATAAATTATCAATTTTCTATTTATCGTAATCATTTTTTGTTATAAGAAACGAAAGTAAACCTAATGTCGCTTCTTTTTTGGAATCCATAACTAAGAGATATGTCAACTAAAAAAAATCATTCTAATTCGGTACATAAGCCATGTGAGTTATGTATTATTAAAATACAAAAGTTAATTAATACACACAAGCCATTTCCATACACACTTGTTTAACTTTACTTATAGTTACAGTTACGCAGAATAATCATGATGAAGAATTTGTAGCTAAGGAGGCTTCCATTGTCGCTTGTTCTTTGTGAGATCGCTGATGTGTACATCTTTGCAAAGACGTTCCAAGAAAACAGCAACCCTATTTCGTTTTCTCGTTCAATTTACGTAAAAGACATTTCCATTCATTCGTTTGCCATTCTGACATAACAATTACGCCACCTATATCGTAACCTTGTGGAAAGAAGGCGTAACTTTTTTTTGACTATTTTTCAGGAATGTCTAAAATAAATATAAGTATCAGTAGAACTCTTCGTGAATGAGTTCGTCCAGGAAAGTACTGCCGCTAAGCAGTAATGTGAACATTACTGTGTTTCGGAAATTACAGGCTCGTGAGATTTTTCAGCTTGTGTGACGTGCGTGATGGGTGCAGTGGCAGTGCCCCTCAGATCTTTGCAATTTGAAGCTCGGAGCGGCACTACAACTGTTATGGACAGGCATGGTGCTTATCACTAGGCGCACGACTTGTTAATCCCATCACTTGAATTCATAAAAATGTGTACGTAACTATTTATTTTTTAAATATTACTTTTTTTTTGCTTATTCTTTAACGTTAAGTCTTCAGTTACACGACGACGAAAATTTTTATGCGGGTGGCCGCCACTGGTACCCGTCCAGCAACCACGCTTTCACGTACGTTAATGGCAAGTCTGAATTCTATTTACTAGGCAATAACATGCAATTTCCACCGAATCAACCGCGCGGATGTAGCGCGTGGTTCGCACTATCGCCGCGCATCGTTCACGGTGTCGCGCCGTAAAGGACGAAAGCGAGAGCCACGTTCACCCTTACATCCTCTAATACTTGTCTAATTGGTTATTTCAATAGCACTTCTCAAAATTACATACTTTTCTTGGTAACGATTTGAAAATTGATTCGCGTTGAAATATTTTTTCATTAATAGCACAAATTTGTTTTTCATCATATTTAAAGATACACCTTTTTCCTTTAGCATCTGACTAAATATTTACGGAGCAATTTCACTTGCAACTTTTTTGCTGTAAAAAATAATTCTATGTGCGAGATTTACCCTGTGTTACCATTTTGTTCCGTAATATATTTGAAGATTAAATGAAAAGTGGATCAGGAAAGCCGGGTTCGACTACCGGTAGGATCAAATTCGGAAATTAACTTTTTTGGATATTTTCAAGCATTTTTTGTTTTTGTTTTTTTTAATAAAATGTAAGTGCGCATTTGACCTCCATCCCACCTGATGGAGGTGACGATGAGGTCGACGATGGTGCATGCACACCTAAATAATGCTTATTCTCTCTGTCCTTGACAAAGCCCAAGTTATAACGTTCAGGGAACAAGTCTGCAGGCAGGGAATTCCATCCCATAGCCGTTCGCCATATAAATGTGGAAGCGTAACGCTTCGTGCGAATCTTTGGAATGTGTATTCTTCTTACCGTTTTCGGCCACGGCAACTGCTTCAGCTCCGCTGTTGGTGGCGCTGGTGGAGACCTTTGTAGCCAGCTTCAAGTCATGCGAGCGTAAGACCACGCTATCCAGCTTACCAAACGCTGCCGCGGCGGCCCCTATTCTGCTGTTGATTTCAGCATCAAGGTCACACGTGGATGTTATCGTGCTCCCCAAGTAACGAAACCTGTCGCCCTAGAGTTTCTTGCTCATACTTCACGGGGGAATCTGCCTTATGAATGAGCGGTACAGTTTAACCAATGTGACGATTTCAAGTGTAATAATGCTTACCTATCAAATAAAGATTATTTTGATTTGATTTTGATTATGGCTATCGTTTTCGAGGTATTTGGGAGTGCTCATTACGAATATGGCCCTTATTTCTAAATCCAAGATGGCGGACACGATTTTTCAAAAAAATGCAATATGAGTATCCTTTTCGAGGTATTTGAGGATGCTCATTACGAATATGACACTTATTTGTAAATCCAAGATGGCAGACACGACAGTTCAAACAAAAGCAATATTCGTAACGAGCACCCTCAAATACCTCGAAAACCATACCCAACTTGCCATTATTCGAAAAATCGAGCCCGCCATCTTGGATTTACAAATAGTGCCATATTCACATTGAGCATCCCCAAATACCTCGAAAATGATTCCCATATACCATTTTTTTGAAAAATCGTGTCCGCCATTTTGGATTTCGAAATAAATGCTATATTCGTATTGAGCACCCCCAAATACCTTGAAATCGATACCCAATTTGCCATTATTCGAAAAATCTTGGATTTAGAAATGAGTAGGTACCATATTCGTAATGAGCACCTCGAATGCCTCGAAAATGATTCCCATATTGCATTTATTTGAAAAGTCGTGTCCGTCATCGTGTATTCGGATATAAATTCCATTTACATAAAGATTACCAAAAATAATTTTTTGAAAATTCTTGTCACTTGACATTGTCGATCGACAAAACCGAGCATATCTGTAGGCACCTGATCGACATTGTCGATCGACAAAATCGAGCAAATCTGTACGCACCTGATCGAAAATTTCGGGCAAATCTGTAGGCCTTTAACTTAATGATGAGTTAAGCAAGATACAATTTCCCCACTTTTGAGGGAAATGTTATTCCATGGCATCTCCATTCGTATATTTGTGTGCGTGCCGACGAGCGTAGATACAAGTTGCTTACGCCTACATGAATTTGATTTTTGCCTCACTTGTGACAGTTCGTTTGATATGAAACTATCATTCTATGCGTTATTATTATAAGCGCTAGGCGAGGTACCTACTACTCATTTAATATTCTGGATATTGATTCAAAAATATCCAATTCGGAGTTTTTCACAGATAACTCGTTACAATCGATACATTCTTACCTACCTGGGGATTATAAAAGGAAGCTAGGTAATCGGGGATTACGCTTTATATTGATAGACATTTATTTTACTTAAAAGGTAAGAAGAGTCAATCTCGCTATGAAGAATCTTATGCAAGTGTGAGGTCATGTCTTTTACGGCAAACAAGCAAGATCACTTTAAATTCGTCACACCTCACTACATAGCCGAGACTGCGACCATAACCTCATTTGTAACCAAACATACTGAGAGCTCTTCCCTGGACGTTTTCTTTACTATTCGAGTGGACTGTATAGCAGGGTAACTTGGGTAGAAGCATACTCTAGAATGCTATAGACAAAGCTATAACAGTGGGCAATAAACTTTAAAGCTGTTTGAAACACTTGGTAGACCTTGTGATACTGCTCTGTTCTTTATGTACGCACAGTGTTTTTTTATAACATCAAGTGACAGGACGAAATAATCGTGCGCCTGATGGTGAGCATACGCCTGTTCATAACAGTTGCAGTGTCACTTAGTCTGAGGGGCACTGCCTCTGCGTCACCCTGAGCCATAAGTTAACAAGTTCCATTTGCCTGTAATTTCACGAGCACCCTCCCTTCAAAACCCCCGGAACGCAGTAATGCTGACATTACAGCTTGGCGGCCGAAATAGTTAGGATGGCAGTACTTCCCTGGACGAACTCTTTCTCAAGGAGCTATACTGCTGCTATGGACACGAAGCGTTAATATAGGGTCAATTATTGTGAAGAGACATGTCCACTAGTTTTTATGATACAAAGTGACGGGACGAACATGTCGTGTGCCTGCTATTATGCGACACGCCTGTTCATAGCAGTTGCAGTACCATTCAGAGCTTTAAATCGCAGATTTGAGGGCACTGCGCCCGCCACATTGAGATACAAATTGATATGCGCCTGCAATATCACCAGCATCCTTAACCTTCAAAATCGGAACACAGTAATGCCCACACTACCGCTTGGCGGCAGAAATAGGTAAGGTGGCAGTACTTCCCTGGATTCTTTCATAAGAAGCTCTACTGCTACTAACACAGTGTAGCTGCACTCAATGCTAAATGTGACAAGATAAAGGCCACCCTCCACCATAAACTACAATTACGGGGCGGTGCACTCATGTGCCCTCAAAGTGCACGAGAGTTTGCAGCGAAGATTGGCATACATTAGTCACATTTAGGAGTCAAAATGTTCGTCATGTCCAAACATGGTCGGATAGATAGACAAAATTTATCTACATTACATATATAGTATACAGTGTTTATCTTTTGCAAATAAATAGACGCATCCGAAACGTATTTATTCATTGTTGAGGTACGTACGGTTGTAGTAAAGTTAGTAATAACTCGGCGCTCGCGCAGGCCGGTTGCCTTACGTTACGTCCCGCCCGCCGCCAGCGCCCGCGTAAATCAACTAGTTTGCTGTTGTAAATACTGTACAGTTTTCCATATAAGTGTAAATTCAAAGCTGTAAGGTAAATATTTTGTGATTTTTTTTATATTTAAGGTGCGTACTACATAAATATAGCACAGGTACTCTTTCCTGCCACTAAGTAAAAGGGTATAATGTGAGCATTACTGCGTTCTGGTTTTATAAATAAAATATAAATAAATAAAATATTTATTTCAGTAATACAATTAACTTTACATTAACAGTGCATGGTACCTCCTATTAAACTTATCAAGCCTGTGTCAGGCACCGCTCTTCCATAGCTATAAATGCATATTTAACATTTTTTACTTATACTTAATGTAGTGTTTAATTTTTACATTTCCAAACATCGACAAAACAAACAATTTTTTTTTAACAATTTGCAATTTTCGAAACTTCTAATTTTAAATTTAATATTGAATCTTAAAACGTATGTGTGTGCCTTTGTATATGAAAAAATATGTGTGTGTGTATATGTGTGTGTGAGTGAGTGAGTGAGTATGAGTGTGTGTATGTGTGTGTGTGGGGGGTGTATGTATGTGTATGTGTGTTAACCTGTTGCCATAGATGACGAAAGTAGTGTTTGAAGGAAAGTGGTTTGGAAGGGTAAAGGTGTTGGTGAAACTACAGGGACTTGTCAACTTTGTCTCAAGGCGACGGCCGAAGTGACATTGACTTTTACGCTCACAGTACTGTTTGGCGGCCGAAATAGGAAAAATGGCAGTACTTCCCAGTAGGAACTTTTTCACAGGGAACTCTACTACTATTAATAAACTAGAGATAAAAAATCATAATATTAAACAGTTCTAAATTAAAAACATGAAGTTTAATTTTAGTGTCAGTCTCCTTGTGAAAACGTTCGTCCAGGTAAGTACATAAGGCGCACTATAAGTTTCCGGAACTGGCCACTTACATAAACAATATTTCAAAAGTAATTACAACATTTGAAAATGGAACTCTTTGGCTGTAGAATGCAGTTTGTTGCATCTGACTGTCACTTGTGGCGTCATTTTAGAAACTGAAATGGAAAATACATCACCATGGATTTAACTCGTGAAAATTTTCGTAGTATGATTTTCCACGACTTTAAGTGTAATTTAACAGCTCAGCGGAGCTTCGCTCGGCTTCAAACTGCTTTTTTTTTTATTTGCAGAATTCGTAACAGGTGACGAAACTTGCATTTATAGTTACGATCCCAAAACAAAGCAGCAATCGAGCGTATGGGTGTTTCGAGATAAGCCGAAACCAACAAAAGTGCCTCTAAGCGGATGATTATTTCTTTTTTAAATAAAACTGGACACGTGGCTACTGTTGCTTTGAAGAATCGTTGTACCGTGAATAGTGATTGGTACAAGACAATTTGTTTGTCGGAAGTTATTGACAAACTCCGTAAAAATAACCGTAAATGCCGTATCATCTTGCACCACGATAATGCCAGTTCTCACACGGACAGACAGACAAATCAATTTTTGAAGGTGAACAATGTTGACCTTATGAGCCATCCCGCGTACAATCCCGACCTGGCGCCTAGTGACTTTTATTTATTTCCAAAAATTAAGAACCAGTTACGCGGTCAACGATTTTCATTACCTTAAGAGGCTGTCGAAGAGTATGAAAAATATGTTTCAGAGATTGTCACGGAGGAGTGGCATAAATGTTTTCACAATTGGTACATTCGTATGAAAAAGTGCATTAACGCTAACGGAGAATATTTTGAGAAACAATAAACTCATTTGTGACCATTTATAGTATTTTTTCTTATTCATTCCGGTACTTATAGTGCGCCTCACGTACTACCATCTTAACCATATCTACTGCCAACGTTCTGGTTTTGAATGGTGAGGATGCTGGTGAAACTACAGGCACATGTCGTGACTTGTCAACTTATGTCATACAGGCGTAATGGCAGCGCCGATCGTTGCGATTTAAAGCTCTAGTGATACTGAAACTGTTATGGATAGGCAAGTCACTTACTACCAGGTGCGTGACTTGTTCGTCCCGTTAATTATATGGACGTCGGGTCCGCGCTAAAAAGTGTCCGCACTTGTAAGGCGCTAAAATCGTATACAGAGCGCCAAACTCCGCTTTAGTCTTCATTTGTTCGACTGACAGCGCGATACTGCGATGACATTACAATTTAAATTTCGAATAGGTTGACTTGGGACATTTTTTCGTGGTTTTTGTATTAGACCCGTCGTCCATTTATTTGTAAGTCAATGCTTGGCACCATAAAAAAAAAGTTTTGGTCAAGCGTGAGTGAGAAAATAATAAATATTGTCAATTTTTATTATAATTGTAATCCAAGTATACAGCATCAAAATGCTATCCGGAACACCGAGATCAGACCGGAAGAGTCGTTAAAAACCAAAAATAATGATCTTCAACAAGTACATAGAAAAATTCGTAAGGGTTGGTAGCTCAGCTGGGAGAGCGTCTGCCGCGGATTGCTTGAAGGCGCTGGTTCAAATCCAGCGAGATCGAAGGAATTTTTCTTATTCGTATTAATAATTACAACAAACTGGTGGAGTCATTCATTTCATTTAAAAAAATACGTGAATATCATAGAAGGAAAACATCATATTCAAGCAATGTAATTACAATATAGAAAAATTAATTTCCCAAATTGTGCCTCATTCAACGTCCACAGTGCAAGCGATCGAACGCGCCACCGATGACGTCAATATGACTGCTCTATTCTATGAAAGAGCTATCCTTGAGAAGGCCCAAAATACTTTTATTCGTTTACTATTTATTAACGACGTTTGATTATAAACATGCCACGAGTGATCCTGTGCATACAGTCCATTGGTTTAATTTTGGCTTGTGTTAACATTATTTCAGTTTTACTCGTGTGGAGCATTGAAACTGTATCGTAGGACCACTTGCTAAAACAACAAACCATTTGGAATCTCATTGTTACCTTTGCGCAGTTTGTATACGTACTTTTATACAGAATATCTTGCCAGTAAGTATGATCGGTTTAGCTTAATATTTTTTATTTTTTTTATGTATATTTATTTATTTTAAAGGTACACAAACAACGCATGGGAACTGATAGTTTGATATTTAATAGACTAGACAACATTCCCAACAACAGCGTACACAGCATGATACAATTAGTCTTAGTATTAGGTTAGTGTAAAATTACATACTCCAGATCTAACACAAAAAAAAAAAAATTAATAAATAAATTTACTAAGTGATTTGTTTAAATAGTTAAAAAGTTTGTTAAAAAAGTAGGTTCCTTATGTGACCGGCGATTTAGGTCTAGGTAAAACGAACGAGAGACGTGACACTTTGATCGAATTTTGCCAGGAGCACAGCCTAGTGATAACTAACACCCTCTTTCAATTACCACCACGCCGGCTTTAGACTTGGACCTCTCCGATGCACACAGCAAAACATATTGTTCTCAATCAAATCGACTTTGTGATGGTAAACAAAAGGTACCGAAACTGTGTTGTCGAAGCGCAAACTTATCCGAGTGCAGATGTTAGATCCGATCATTATCCAGTTGCGATTACCCTACGATGTAAAATCAAGAAAGTGCAGAAACAGAAGATAGATGCAAAAGTTAATGTACGGAGACTCGCAAACAGTGGTATCAGAGAGAACGTCACGTAAATAGACTCGAGCACCAATATTCAACTCGAGTCTATTCAGAAACTCGATGGGCTCGTAATACATCGAGCGGTGAGTCTGTCTATATGACTCGAGTCTTGTGAATTGGAGTTGAGTTTTAAAATGTAGACTCCCGGATTTGAGTTTTTTATAATACTACACAGACAACCAAAAAACGTTTCAATTCAATACAAAGTTCTGCAACAAACACATCGAGAAACTTATAAGATCTGCTAACTCGGTCCGAAGCTCAGTTGGTAAGAGCGGTGGTTCGACTATAGTCACGTTGATAGAGTTTTTCTTTGTGTTGTTTAATTTTTCTTTAATCTTTGTACCAGTAACAATAAAAAACTAGTGGAGTATTTTCACAAAAATAAACGATATGTAAAACATCATAATATTCAATAAATGAAATATAGAAGCAAAATGTTTCGCAATATCTGCTGTACTTGTTTAATATTTACCAAACCATTTCATTACATGTTTAATATGCAATATATAAGTTTGAAGACTGTTTGATCCTATCGGTTATTGAGTTATGTAAACGCCAAAAGCTGTTGTATTTATTAGGCTTATATTAATAAATCCATTTCAAGGCCTTTGTTAAGTTTACATTTAAACTGACTTCAAAAAAAGGAGGAGGTTCTCAATTTGACAGTATGTTTTTTTTGTATGTTTGTTACGCGATAACTCCGCCATTCGTGAACCGATTTTGATGATTATTTTTTGTTGGAAAGAGGGTACCTCCATAATGGTCCGATTTAATTTTAAAAAAAATCATCCATCTCTAATGGTGCCTGTTCACGCATGAAGATTCATTTTTATAAATAGCGCCTAAGTTTTATTATAAGGAGCAATTATTTTAATGGTTGATTTTGCTATTCTCAAATTCAAGGCGTTCTTCTCTCAATATACTTTGAGTAGTGAGAACCGATTTTTATTATCTCCTGTGTCTCGTATAGTGGCGAACTAGGGGATGAATTCGGGTTTGCGCACTTTCCGGTAACCGATTTCAATAAAACTTGGTAATTATTCCACGTACTTTTGAGGTCGGTCTTTTTAGTACTCTGTACTGAGATTATTTATTAACAAAATGGTACTCAAGTAAAAGGTGGTAGTTTAGTGGTTTGTCAGTCAGTTATTTGAAAAGGCGTGCCCGCCATCTTGGATTTGGAAATAAATGCTATATTCGTAATGAGCACCTCCAAATACCTCGAAAAGGATACCCATGCTGCATTTATTCGAAAAGTCGTGTCCGACATCCTGCATCTTGGATTTTGAAATAAATGCCATTTTCATAATGATTGCTTTTCATCAAAATGTAACTTTTGAAAATTCTTGTTCGCCATCATGTATTTAGAAACGAATGCCATATTTTGACTATCATACCCATGTAATTTCGGAGTTACGTACATTTGTGAATGTACACTAAGCAATGATTTTCGTTGACGGTGAAAGAAAAGATCGTGATGAAATCTACAACGTACTATTCTAATAGCAGTAAAGCTCCTTGTAAAAATGTTCGTCCAGGGAAGTACTGCCACCTTACCTATTGCTACCACCAAGCTATAATGTGAGCATTACTGCGTTTCAGTTTTAAAGGGTGAGGTGCCGGTTATATTTTAGGCACAGGGGCATTTTCAACTTATGTCTCAGGATATGTGACGGGCAGAGACGGTGCCCATCAGATCTTTGCGATTTAAAGCTCTGAGCGATGCTGCAACCATACGTACCTACGAGTTGTTCGGCTCGTCATCTCTTCGGTAGTGTCATAAAAAACATTACGACGAAACTTATTATTTCGTTTTTACTCATTAAATTTGTTTTTTTTTTGTTGTATGTAATTACTTGGCCACAATCTTATTATAATGTACAGTCTTAGAATACAGTGATGATTTTACCGACGCGACGTCGGTGCGCGTTTGAGCAATATGTTTTGTATTGGTTTAACTTCCTTTCTTGTGGCATGATTGCGATTCAATTATAGATTTTATTGTTGACGTGTTTAAGTTGATTTTTCACGCAGTGTTTGGATCTACTAATTTTGTAAAATTTACGTTTACGTTACGTTACGTTAACGTTTTCCTATTTCTTTTGATTATATCTCTTCGTTAGATAATTTAGAAGTAATCTGTATTATTTTTCCAGATGTTGCTCTGGATATGGCTGGGTTGCCTCGTCATCGCAGCTCTTCTGTACTTCCGGCAACTTTACGGCTTCTTTAAACGGCAAGGTGTGAAGACACCCTTGATCGTCCCACCTTTCGGCACTATACTGAGCATTTTTATACAACGAGATCACTTTACTGAAGAAATTACTAAGGTTTATAACCGATTTTCTGAACAGAGGTGAGTACAAATTTAACATGGGTACAAGTAGGATGTAAGAGACGGTGCTTACCGAATACTCAACCATGATTTTTAGTTGCAGTGAGTAAATTTAACAAAATATTTGCTTAAGTCTGTAACTTTATCGGAGTAATAAGGAAAATGACGACATTTCTTCCAAAGGCGTAAAATTTGTAAATGGTTTGAACATGTACTTACCGTTGCGTTAAAAGTGTTCTAACGTTGACACCTCCTTAAGTGAGAAGCCCCAGGTATTTGAATAGTATTTTGTAGCAGTAATGTGAGCGATAAACAGTAATGAGGGCATTTCTGCGTTCCAGTTTTCAAGGTTAAGGATGCTGATAAAACGCATGTCGCTTACCACCATGCACACGACTTGTTCATCCCGTCACTTAAAGTCATAAAAAAATGCCTTGTCATCAAAGTTAGCCATTTTTCATTTACTATTTTGCTGTATAATACCACAAGATTATAAAGATGCTCGCGGATAAGTCAAACTCGCCAATCTAGGATAGTTCGTTCAAATATAGGTAGGTATATTCTGAATTTGACGGTTGGTGAATCAGTGAGGCGGCAGCAAAATTCAAGATACTTGGAAATCCACCTTTAGCATTTGGTAATATTTTCAATTTATAATTGCAAGTAACCGGGAACAATTAAGTATTAAGTTTGGAATCTACCATAAAAATACAATACCTTATAAGGTGTAGATAGAGTGAAAAGTAGCGATAATAATGAAGCATAGGTAAGAACAAACAGGTTCTTATCCTGTCAGTGGCATTGAATTAAATCCTTAACGACCTATCACTATCACAAATTATCGCTGTCATTGTAATAAGGCTGCATTGATCCATGAAATATCTTATTTTTTATGGCGTGCGAGATTTTAATGATCTATTAAGCAGTATTATACAGTCAGCGCCAGAATGGTCTAAGGTCAAGATTGACCCAAATAAGGTATTTTTTATGAGATCATAAACGTATTTTATATTTTATGGATTAAGTTTTATTTGCATTTATTTCAATTCCAGATCCGTCCGACTTTTCGTACATAGGTATACTTACGAGTAAAGGTTTCCATGTGGATAACATACACAAATGTTAAACTTATTGTTACAATAGGATCTGTAAAGATCCCGAAATGTTAAATTCTTTGAAAAAAAAAATGAACGTGCTTTAGAGTCAAAAAGTATTTTAATTTCCAGTATGTAACGGTGGAAAAAACTTCAAAAAGAAGTCGATATTAAATAACAAAGAACATTTTAATAACATGGCCAATAGGCCAAACTCCCCTGGGTATATTCGAATCGAATATTACAACGATGTCACCTACTGACAGCGATGGAGTGTTTTCTGCAGTGGGGCTGGACGGACGCAATCATCTAGCCCCGAAGTTAACTGCAAGTTTGTTTCTGTGACCGTCGCACCATAACGCTGTTATCCATATCGCCAACCAGGCCTAGCTGCTTGATTAGAGAGGTTTCGATTTGCCAAAGTAACTGAATTACTCTGTTAGGTTCTACGGCGCTTTCCAATTCTTGAAGCCGTTTCTGATGGTGAGAGACATCGAACTGATCAAGAAGATTGGCGTCAAGGACTACGAGCACTTCCTCGACCACAATAGTTTATTTAAAGAGGAACACGATAAGCTTTTTGGAAGAAATCTGATTTCGTTAACAGGTAACATACACTTCATTTTATCTTAAAAATAGATTATTTAAAACATGTCCTTTTGAGTTTGGGCCCTAAATTTTTACTACAGGTTTTCAATTTCAATTTATGAATTTCCTTAAAATAGGAAACTGCTATGATTCTCCACTTTTTTTTTATTTATTTATTTATTATTTATTTATTTATACATTTTAGGAAAATTCACGGACAAATAATACAATTATAGTAAACTTAAATATGAGTAATCCAATGCCATTTACGAATTTCCACCTACATGAAACAATATACAGTGCTTAGCAAGCCAAAAAGAGATTACAGGAAAATACAAAGAACGAAGTTATACATTTTAAAAAAAAACAAAATAAAAATTACTATTAATATACAATTAAACCTTAGAGGATGGTAAAAGAAAAAGAGTCTAAGAATTAAACGAACATACCAGTGTATTCATCGCCAATCACGTGATGTGTCAAAGTGACGTTTGGTCATTTCACGCCTGACTGTGTCTATGCTTGAACAAAACAAATCAAACTCAGAATGATTTACTGTCGCATTGTTATAAAGTCTCAAAGCACGCACCGTGTACGTATTTTGCCTATAATTAGTGCTCGCAAACGGCACTTGCAGAGGTGGTCGACATCTGTAATGTAACAAGTTTGTGCGCAGGTTTATGTGTGACAACAATTCCGGACAATCAATCTTACCGTTGGCGATCCCCATCAGTAAACTGATGTCACTAATGTCTCGACGGACACGAAGCGGCAAAAAATGATACCTAGTACACCTATGCTCATAACCTGATGAAAATTGTTTAGTTTTGTAGTCCAGATAACGTAAGAATCTCTGCTGAATTGCCTCCAACCGAGACTTATAGCTTTCATAGCATGGATTCCAGACCTGTGAAGCGTACTCAAGGTGACTCCGTACAAAAGAGCAATAAAGAATTTTAATGCACTTGATATCACTGAACGTCGCCGATGTCCGAATAATGAATCCAAGTGCCTTTGATGCCTTACTTATTACACAGTCAATATGCTTGTCAAAAAGTAGTTTGTCGTCATGGAGTACACCCAAGTCCCTCATTTCCCTGACTCTCAATATGTTGGTGCCATGTAATTTGTAACCAGTGCCTATGGTTGATGTTTTACGGCTGAATGTCATGTAAAAACATTTGGACACATTAAGTTCAAGCCTATTTATGGTACAGTAGGCTTCAAATCTGCTTAAGTCTGCCTGAAGATCGTCAACATCTGACTGCCCACGTATGACTTTTAGCACCTTCATGTCATGAGCAAAGAGCAGGATCTTCGAGTGTATAAAACAAGATCCAATGTCGTCGATGAAGATGATGAATAGTAGAGGTCCAAGGATAGAACCCTGCGGTACACCAGACGGGACTGATGTCCACCTTGACATAAAGCCACGCAACACAACCGCCTGACTCCTATTAGCTACGTAAGAAGCAAACCAGCGCAACAAATCTCCATGTATGCCTGCTACCATCAACTTGTTCAGAAGCACATTGTGATCTATGCGGTCAAAACATTTAGTGTAGTCAGTGTAAACTGCATCAACTTGTGCACGGCCCTCCATGCCTCTTGTTATGAATTCATTGGCGATGACTAAGTTAGAGACAGTGGACCTATTTCTTAAAAAGCCATGTTGGTGTTCATTAAATGTACGATTCAACACCGCATAAACATCACTGAATACCAGCCTTTCCAATATTTTTGCAAAAAGACATAACTTGGAGATTGGACGATAATTTTCAATATGTGATTTATCACCCTTCTTATATACAGGCGTAATAAATGCAGATTTCCATATTGATGGAACGATGCCTTCATTTAAAGATCTTTTGTAAAGCAAACAAAGCGGAACTACAAGGCTGTCAGCACACTTTACTATGAATACAGGAGGAATGTGATCAGGACCACCAGATTTAGAGAGATCAAGGGATTTTAGCAGTTTAAGCACTGTAGATTGAACAATCTCAACTGTACTGATAGAAATGGCACCATGAGTTACACTGATAGGTAGATTGTGTAACCCTAGATAAGGATCTTGCGCTGTAAAGGTGGAATGGAAAAAGTCTGCGAACATATTGGAAATAGCTTCACCTGAATCTGCAGTAGTGTTATTATACTTCATTACACCAGGATAGGAATTAGAGCATTTTAAACTTTTCACATATGACCAAAATAGTTTAGGGTTGTCAACAATTGATTTCTGAATTTTATCCAAGTAATTATCAAAACATTTTTGTTCAAAGTCAATAGCTCTTCTACGCAGCACTGTGAATGAGTGATAATCCGAGATATTACCATATACTTTATATTTACGGTGAAATTTATATTTTTCTTTTAGAATTTTTAATAAGGCCGAATTAAACCAAGGAGGATGAGACCCAGTTTTAATTAATTTAGTAGGTACATACATGTCTCGACACTCATACAGTTTACAGTAAAGAGATTGACTGCTTCTTCTACAGAATGTGCATTCAAGTATGAATCCCATTTTATATTATTGAGAGTAGATGAAATTGATTGGTAATCACCATGATGATATAAAAATTTCACTTGTGGTTGTTGTATAATAGTGTGAATTTCAATAAACTCTGCAACAATATTTAGTGACTTATGGTGACTGTCTTCTGGAACTAAAGGATCGGGGCATGAATTAATACTTAATGGGCTATTTGAGAAAACTAGGTCAAGTATACGCTTATTAAGGTTATACTCACCATTATATTGTGAAAAATTACATGTGTCAATAGTATCAATGAAGTTCTTTATGTAGTCACTTGAAATATCTAAAGGTCGAAGCTCCAACTCACCGCAAGCTTTCGTCCACGTGATATTATCTGCCAAGTTAAAGTCTCCTGCTATAATGTAGGTATCAGTCGGCTGATGCGCAACAATGTTACATATTTTATTTGAAAAGTTTAATAACTGCGTTTTCAATGAATTACCACCTTTTTCATTACATATATATACCGTGCACAAATGTATTCTATAAGAAACTGTAGGTCTATTATGTTTTAACGTCAACGTCACCCAAATATCCTCTGCAGAGCTGCGCCACTGACAGTTTTCTACCACGGATAGGTCTCTTCGCACCGCGATGAGTACGCCACCACCCAGAGATTGCGACGTTTGCTCGTAATTGCGGTCACGCCTCCAGACCAGATACCGGTCGTCAAACAGCTCACTGTTATGTACACCGTCTAATAACCAAGTCTCAGTTATAAGTACAACGTCATACCTATGCATACAAATATTCCTAAGGAATGTATTAGTTTTTGTACGCAGGCCACGAGCATTTTGGTAATATATATTAAGTTTAGCCATTAATGATTGTTATTGTAAATACTAATTGATTAAAATGTATAGAATTCAATGAAATAATATAATTGATAAATTGGTCAACAATGCGGCGGTAGTAATAAACATACACACAAAAATAACAAGTTCGACACAGTGCTAGAACACGTTCTACCATCGAGTTAAGCAAAACTATGCAATACAATAGCGCGAAAAAAGCCATTAATATGAACAGTGATTTACGTAGTTGGTGCGTGCAAGGAGAAAGGCGCTCAATGCGTAGAGGAATAGCCTATAGATTTGTGAAGCTGTTAAGCGAGCGGTGATTAAGCAACAAACAATGGACTAAACTTACTTTAAAGCATTGACACAGTCGATATTGGAAAACGACATCCTCACGTTTTGGACCAGCGATGCACAAACTGTCGTTTTGTTGTGATATTATAAAAAACCTAAAAATTAAAAACTTATCAGTTAGACAACTTTCAATAAATCCCGTTCGGTCTTGATAGTCAGTATTGGAGATTGGTCGTCGCGGCGCACGAAAATCTTGGCGTGCTTCACCCAAACATACCGGAAACCCTTCTCTTTGGCAGCCCTTTTGGTGTTTGAGAGTAGTATTTTGTTATGTGTGGTGAGGTGATCGTTTACAAAGATCCTGTGATTACCCTGCAGCCCCAGAACAGCAGGTGTAATATGTGTTTCTTTCGATATTATCCTGGCTGCAGCTATAAAATCTTCTTTCACATACCGGTTATTAAAGCATACTATGATAGGCTTAACCTGGTTCGGATCTCGTGAGGGCACTCGGGTAACAAAGTTTATTTTGTCTTTTGACACCGGATAGTTAATTTTTGATCCCAACATACTAATCAATTGGACTAAGTTTTCATTTCTCGTTTGGGTTACTCCTTTTAATTCTACGTTGTTCATTCGAGACCATTGTTCCTTACTAGCTAGGTCATTCTCGAGCCCATCCAGTCGCCGCTTAATATCAGGGATTTGCTCCGCTGACTGCTCTACTTTGGCCAATCGTGTCTCGACCCCCCCGATCCTAGCGTTCAACTCCTTTATGGTGTTAGTGAACTCGAGCACAGATGACTTTATACCGCTCATCTCCTCTCTTAGAGACTTGAGCTCATGCGATAGAGCTTCAAGAGGCGCAAGTTTTTCAGCTAATCGTGCTATTTCCTTCAGTATGAGAGAGTCCCCACCAGGTGTAGTAGATTGGTCAGTATTAGAAGGAGGTTGACGACTTGCTGGTATAATACTCGGGGAGGGAGTGCGATTTCCGGCCTGTTTACACTTAGGGCAACGCCACGAAGATCTCCTCTCGCCTAGTCTTGAATATCCAAGTTCCGTGATCCCGCCACAGTGATAATGAACCATACCACCGCATGCCGTACACCGGGCTCCGTCCATCAATTTCTCAGTACAAACGATGCATTGAAAACTATTCATTTTTTTAAACTTGAGAAGCACTGGAATTTACTACGCGATTTAATAAGTATTGGTGATAAGACACGGCCGTACGCTAGTAGCTTACGAGCGAAACTGATCGCTTGTCTCAATAAAATTCAAGAATTAAGTAATGCAGGTAGGGAATTCCACTTCGTAGTCTGTCATGTATTATTACAAGTATTTCGCTTGGTTTGGTTTGACAAGCGTGTGACGGTGTAACCTCCTTACACCGTCATCTCACCTCTTTGTATCGCCTCTATCCTCTTGTATCTTATCATTTTTTTTATTTTACTTGAATTTAAATATTAAATTTTAATTGTTCCATCTTCCTTCACTTTCTCATTTTGTTTTCGTACCACGGTCACTCCCAGCTCGATCGCCACAACAGTCGGAGCTGTTAATAAGCTAATCATGTATAATAATTTATAAGTCGACAGCCTTCGTGTATCTATTTCTGTAATTCAGTTTCTCGGCCCATTTAGGGGTAAGTGCCTTAATAATAAAGTGTAGGGAGTGTTTTATACTGTTATACCTGTTTTTTTACATTTACCTTTATATTGTTACAGCCTTTCTTTAAACTTTACTTCTTTAATAAATTTTGTGGACCGGAAGTTTCCCATTTCATTGCCGTGAACCTGTTCACGGCTAGTTAGGGCTACAACCCTTTCAAGCGAGTCAGCAATTGCACAGTAAAGGATAAAAGCCATTACAACAGAAAGATTCAAGTGCATTCTGAAGGCGGCTATAAAACGAATTTCAGGTGTAGAAAACGAAATTTGCAAAATCAGAAATATTTATTTTTTGGTCAACAGGACAGGAATGGAAAGATATGCGATCAACCCTGAGCCCTGCTTTCACCAGCTCCAAAATGAAATTGATGCTGCCACTGATGGTGGAAGTTGGAGATCAAACGATCCATTTGCTTAAGAAGAAAATAAAGGAGTCTGAACGTAAGTGGATTTTAGGAACATATCACTAATTCAAAAAACCGTCAAGGCTTGGCCCATTGACGGGACTGCACGGCAGGGACCGTTTGGCATTCTTACATGCCCGGGTGGTACCCAAAATCGTGGACGGAAATGGCTAATATGAAATTTTGTATAATTTCATACTTATTACATATTTCGAAGTAAAAAAATCTTTTGTATACGAAAAAGAGGCAACTCCATTCAACGTTTAGATTTTTATGAAAATCGATTCAAGTGCATACGATCTAATCTATGATCCATTTTTTGTATCGCTTTATTTTAATACGATTTTCAAGTGAATCGATTCAATAGAAACGCAAATCGATACTTTAGATCAGAATGCAATAATTATTGTATGTAAATATGTTATTAAATTGCAACAAAACTCGATTTGCAACAAATATTTAGTTCTAAATATTGGCGTTAATGGGTCTTAATCCGATTTAAATCCGGCGTTAATAAACCCATCTCCGCTAAAGTATTCCGAAGGCAGAAAAAGCATTTCTGAAGAATTTCTGAAAAATTTCGGTTTTTGTAGCTACTACCAACTAATTGAAAATAAACTAATTGAAATTTCAAGTATAACGTCATACAATTAACGTATATTGTTATTCGTCACATAAAAATCTCTTACCGTGCGGTCCTATTAGAACTGTACGGCACGGTCACGCTTTAATTAACCATTTCATAATGCCCTTACATTTATATATATTTTTTCATTTACAGAGGATTATTTAGACATTGAAGTGAAAGATCTAACGACCAGATATGCAAATGACGTAATTGCATCTTGCGCCTTTGGCCTGAAGGTAGATTCTCAAATGGACAGAGACAACCAGTTTTACGCAATGGGAAAAACTGTTTCTGCTTTCACTTTCCGTCAACTAATTATATCCTTCTTGTTTTATTGTTTCCCGAAAGTGTGTCAAGTAAGTATTTTTAAAGTTTCTTTCTTGTCTTTTCACGGTATTTGTGATGTATTCGTCATGAATATAAGGAAGAATATTAATTATTAATTATAATTATAATTAAGGGTACATAGATAAATTCCTAAACCTTTCCATGTGTATTTTCATACTCCGTAAAATTTTGCATGATTAAAATAAACACATGTCAAAGTTCATGAACTAGTGATAGGGCACGATCAGTGAAATCGAGAATAGATGTAGGTACTTGAACTTCGACTGAACTAAAAGGACTCGACTGAAAAAATGAGATATTTGTAACCATGCTATTATATCATAGCAATAACTGAAAACAACTCAATAACTAATGGGGTTAAGGCAGGGTAACATAAAGCACGGGGGCGGATTGGAGGACAACCGACTCGCCCATCCGTTGGCGCGGGAGCCCTGGCGCAAGCTATGGCGGCCGGGCGGCGTCGTGGTGAATGTTCACAGACCCCACGGCACCGGCTGAACCGGCGAGAAGGAAACCGGGGGGGGGGGGGGTTAGTGGGATAAGCCCTCCAGTCTGGAGGGAGAGTCCCCACATAACCCCTGAGTCTCCCTGGGCTCAGGTGTATCTATAAAGATTTCCCCTCGTCAAAAAATAAAAAAGGGTACACTAACACACCCCCCCACACACACACACACACGCACGCACGCACATACGCACGCACGCAAGCACGCACGCACGCACACACATAAACCCTTACAAAGTACACCCACACTCACGAGAGAAATAAATGTAGGCCATTCAAATATTTCTCCTGAATCGAACCCGGGACCTCTGCGTGGCAGTCCAACAAGGCATCCCTTCGACCACGAAGTCAGTTAAAGTATTAGTCACCAAACAGTTATCTAATATTATAATTATTAGGTATGTAGTTACGAAAACAAAAATAATTGATTCTGTCATATTAAAAAAAAAAATATCCGTTTTAAAATTGTAAAAGAAAATCATTTCAAATCGCAATCACGGAAGCAGAAGTAATAATAATAAATTTTACCAAAACATTCATTACGTGGACATCAAAACGTGAATAATTGTGTCATTTTACAAACACGATATGGTGTAATCACCCGATTACACCATTTCGTGTTTATAAAATGAGAAATAATATCGCAATTTTAAATGAGGTAGTTAAAAATTGTGTATTCGCTTATTTAATAAATAACTGTCGACATTGCTTTTTTACTTTAAAAAGTACTTCACAGTTTGAACAAAAACAATAAACGAAAATGTCAACTTTCAGAAAATGGCAATTAAAAGTGAAACTAATTTTAAGTATAAAAAAAACAAGATTTTCATTTAGTGACAGTAGTGTTGGTTTCAACCTGTTATTTGTCTACGTGTAAGTTATATGTTACTACCTCAAGGCTGCACTGTCAATCACCATTTCCGAAAACTCAACATTGTATATGATTTGGTCTCACCGTTTTTTTACTAACTAGTTCCTATGTCATGTTCTAAAGAAATAATAAACTGCCAAGTCCAATGAGTTGAATTCAAGATCAACCTAAGTCCAAGAAATACCATAGTCTATCTTTTTTTTTCGTTCCTTATCTTATGCTACCTATCGTAAGGATTCTTTCTTGCACTTAAAATTAAGATTAACCTGAGAAAAAGATTAATGGTTTTATTTTGTATCTCAAAGATACATAAAATTGTTTTGCTTATAAAATTTCTAAAATAAACAAGCTGATCACTTTAGAGCATTTATCCCTGTCCAGAAAAAAAATCCTTAAGTCCCGTTTAAAAGTCACTAAATCCAAAAGGTTTTGTTCTCTTTTTTATTATGAAGACTAACACGGTTATCACACATTATAATATAAAAGTAACGGGAGTTACTCGCGTAGTATTTTAGTCGGAAGTGGTCCGACTAGTTTCGACCATAATCGATGGTCTTCTTCAGGGGTTTAGTGCAACGTTCGCGACCGCGTCACGTCTAGCACTGCGCGCTGCGGCTCTCTGCGCGTTTTTGTTCTCAGTTTAGTTTTGTTTTCAGTCCAATGTAATTTTTAGCAAATAATTTCTACCAACATTCAACTCATGTTATCAGGTGTTTAATACAAAGAGCCCCTAAAACAATACACTTTAACCACCGTCACTCTTTTAAAGGCTCGATATTATCATTTCAAAAGCAAAAAAAAAAACGACGAGAACGTACAATATCCAGAAACTGGATTAATGGATTTCTTGAAATGGGCCTTTCTTTAGAAAGGCCAAATGTAAGTAAAGGGCACACGAAACGGTAACAAGAGATCTTTGAACCGGTCCGTCTGACGGTTTACCGATGTTTTCTATGTTGAACAGTGTATCCACTTATATACAAAAAAAATTACATATTGCCTTTTTCTAGTATATATTTATTAAACGTATTTAATTAGATCGCTAAAGAAGAGACTCGTGCCCAGCAGTGGGACGTATACATAAGTTGATAATGATGATATATTAAATATTAGACAACATCACGTACGTTACTCTGATCCTAAAATAAGTAGCTAAAGCACTTGTGTTATGGAAATCAGAAACAACGAGGCCACCAAAAACACTCAGACTCGAGACAATCAATATAGAAAAGTTTTCGTTATTGACCCGGCCGGGGATTAAGCCCGGGACGTCAGAAATGGTGACACCATGAAAACCAGCGTGCAAGCTACTCGACAACAGAGGTCGTCTAAATGTTAGTGACATATTTATATTTTTAGATATTCAAATGGACTCTGTTCCCGAAGCCAGTGCAAAACTTCTTCAGGACGCTGGTAAAGGAGACGATGCAGAACAGAGAGCTCAAGCAAATCGTTCGGCCTGACATGATACATCTGCTAATGGAAGCTAAGAAAGGTATTGTATAATAGTTTATTACTTCGCTGGTTTAGTTGTTGAGGATTATGGAGTTAACCTGCGATCGAATCCCGATGAAACCTCAAAATAATATTAAAAGTTTGAATAATGTTAGAATAAATACACCAATGTCAAAAATTTCTATGAAGAGCCTGTAATAAAAATGGAAAAATTAAATTAGTGATTTTCACTTTCGGCAAATTATTGAAAATTATGACGCCATTATAAAAATACTTTCATGCATGAGGGTAGTTTTACAAGCGTTCAAATGAAGATGGTCACAGAACTTGGTTTTAGTGTTCGTGTGAAAATTGTGAGTGCGTTCGGGCGTATACGGTAGTTTCATATGTATAAAGTGAAGGAACAATAAGTAGTCGAAGATCTTTAAAATATGGTTTGCAGTAACCTGTCCTTTTCACCCGAAAATTGCTCTGACACATCTTGTTTGTGCCTTCAAAACTGAGTTCGCGTTAGTTGAATTGCTACAAGACATTTGAAACAATATACTTACGTAATGTCCAGAAACTAATATCTGTGATGGCAATCAGTTTTTGTTATTTTTATTCACTGCACCGATAGCACTTATCTAAATAGATACAAAATAAATCAAAACAGTCTTCGATATGACGATGCCACTTGTATTTATCAACACAACAATGTAACATGTAAAACGTAATTATACCGTTGGAGCTTTTGATTTAAAAATAAAAACACCAGCCTATGATTCGTTATTTCGTAATTGCGATATAAAGCAATAAACTGTCTTGTCGCTAGATAAAACCCAAAATGTTATAATCGAAAGAATATCACATAAAACTAATACAATAGAGAAATCTGTAGCTGTAGAGGTCCTTGTGAAGGAGCTCGTCCAGGGAAATACTGCCGTCTTACGTATTTCTGCTGCCAAGCAGTAATTGAAAACAATTGAACGGGGTCATTGTTTTATGTTCTAATTTATTTTTAAATAAAGAATCTAAAAAGAAGAAAAAATCATAATATAATCTACAGTAACAAAAAAGATTTCAGTTTTTCGAGGTGATCGCAAACTTTTTTTGATGTGTGTATGTATCTTATAAAAACTACTACGGGCTTTACCGTGCGAATTCCAAGTGCTTTCTTTATAGTGGCCGCCTACTGCTTCTCCATAGAGAAGTATCAACAATGTACTGACAAAATTGAATGATTTATTTGAGATACATTTATGGACATCACACACACATATTTAATATGTGCACACCAAGGCAGTACCGTGAATACCGACGTGTTTGTATGTGGTGATGTAAGACCTACATGTCAATGCGTCCAGCGACTGCCTTTTGTGGTTATGTAGTTTGTTTTCGCGCTGGAACTTTCTGACAGTATAAAATTCCTCAATTTTTTTCTCTAAATGCATAGTTTTTTAGTAATTCAATAAACCAATAATGTGTACTGCAGAAACCCTATTCTATAATAAATAATAATGAAACGTGTTTTCACACTTTAAATCAGGTTAGTTAGGTAGGTATTTTCAGCCATCTAGGTGAAATGAATTACTTAATTACTAAACTAAACTGAACTAAACTGAACTAAACTGAACTGAACTGAACTGAACTGAACTGAACTGCTGAACTGAACTGAACTGAACTAAACTAAACGATACATACAGTGTGCTATTAGTAATCAAAATCAAGTCTCTTACTACTTTCCAAACTGTGATTTAATTATTCGAATGGTAAATAAATAACCTTTATCATTGCTTAAATATAATCTAATCAGTAATTGTTTCTTTTGGAATTGTTAGTATATAATAACTTTTACTGGTCTTCTTATACCGCAAGGGTTACGCTATTTTAATGTATAGAGTAAACGTATTCGCGGTGGTCATATGAACGAGATCGAATTCCATTCTTAAATATAACATGTGTACTGCACCAGGAATCAATTTGAGCTCGATATCTCATTATACTGTATTTTATTGAAATACAAAATTGTTATAGCCTTATTGGAAAACTCTACATGTGCCACATATCATGCTATACTAATTGCCATTTGTATATTTAAATTGAGGATTTGAACATCACGCAAATAACGTGAGGTTTAATTTATAATACAGGCACCGTTTACACACAGTTTCTTTTGACTTCACAGGAAAAGTAACTTATGATGAGAAAACAAACCAAGACAAGGACACCGGCTTTGCCACCGTCGAAGAGTCATCCGTAGGCCAAAATAAAATCAGCAGAGGTACGTCAAATCGGAATAGGTATAA